ACTTATCCTTGGTCAAGCTTGGTTGGCAAGACGTGGCCGGTGCTGGCTGCACAGGCAGGACTTCCTCGACGGTCTTCTTTGTTGGGGCACCGGTGCTGGCTGCACAGGTGTACTCGCAATGGGGCGAGCACAGTGGTCCCTCGCAGTCGTTTGGGCACTTCCTTGTAAATTTTGGTATTTCTTTTTTCTGTGGTGGAGTTAATTTTTCATTAGTTTTTGCAAGACTTTTAATTGCAGGGTAGGTGTGTGTGTTTGTGGCTGTGGCTTGATTTTTTCTTTCACTTATTAAAGTTTTTATATTTTCGAGTTCGGCATGTAATTTGACCGAATCGCTCCAATTTAATTTACTTCCGCTATTTAGTAGCTTCAGTAGTTCAGCCCTTCTGGCTTTTAGTCTCTTTACCACACCACTGCGTTTTGCACACATCACACTCTACTCACTGCGATATTATCTTTTTGTCTGCTGCTAATGAAATTCATCAATTTCTGTCCTCCAGTTGTTCCTTTCTAGGTCCTCCAAGACCAGCGTCACGGTGAAATGCAATCGTCTTTAATTTCCTGTCCTGCAGTTTTGCTGTCCTAGGTCCTCCAGGACCATCGTCGCGGTCGCCATGTAATATGTTTAAACGAGTAGGATTTTCCATATAGCCCAAATAATATAAGTCAAATTCATTTAGGTTTGATATTCATTTGGATGATTTTTATTTGTATTTTATTCGGAGCAGAGCAGCCTTTGTTGCCGCTCTGAGCTCAAAAGAGTTTCTTGACAAACTTAATTTACTTAGGAGCTAAGGAGGTCTAAGTCTCATAGCGGCGCTGCCAACAGCGGCAGCGGAGAGACGGCCTATATATTCTTAAGTATAGAGCTATGCTCACTTAGTCTGGAGCGCGGAGGCGTGCTCCGCACTTCGGTGGTTTATGGGAGGCTGCTGTGAAGTCAGCTAAATTTCACTTCAACAGAGTCGCCGGTGCATCCATCTTAGCCATCGATGAATTAAGAACTCTTGCATATGAGATTTCTGCTATCCTTAACTCCCGTCCACTCTGTCCAATTTCAGAAAATGCTGAAAGCCTTGAGGTGCTAACACCGGCGCATTTCCTGAAGGGTTCCAGCTACCCTAATTTTCCTGAGCCTGACATTACTCATCTTCGCGATGGCCGCCTCAACAGATGGCAGCGGGTGACCCAGATGCAACAACATTTCTGGAAAAAGTGGAGCACCGAGTATTTGTCCCTACTTCAAGAGAGGAGCAAGGGGCGCGTCCAAACGTCTAACATCACGGTTGGAAGCATAGTTTTGCTGAAGGAGGACAACGTTCCACCCTTGAGATGGCAGCTTGGGTGCATCCAGGAAGTCATACCCGGCGGGGACGGAGTCATCAGAGTATATATGGTCCGTACAGCTACGGGTCTGATCAAGAGAGCCGTCGCCAAACTAGCCGTTCTGCCCATCGATTCCGAGATAGTTGGAACCTTACCTCTTTCAACGGGTGGAGTATGTTCGGAGAAGATCGCCAGCGCCTAGTCATGCGCGCATAGGTGTACGACGGCACCTGCAGCGCTCTCTGCTTATCTTTGTCGCCTTCTTTCTTATACCACTAAAGCTGTCGCTTATCTATTCAGAAACTACATTGTAAGCCTTCAAATGTCTATAAAAAATTCTTGGAGCCGAGCTTTTACACAGCCCGTCTGCCGCTCCGAATAAACGCTATACATTTTAATATAACCTATTCATGCGTTATTAATTACAAATGTAAGGGTGGCATATTTGTTGTCTTCCCCACAAACAATTACGTTGTACTAGAATAAGTATCTTTTTAGCAGAACCATCTGTAGTAAGATCTTCGACAAGCCCTCCATTGGGGAATAGCATTACTCCGCCACCACCGTCTAATTAACAGCTAAAGCCCAGTACTCACATCGACGAGAATCGCGAGCTAACCATAGTGAGCGAGAGGCAAATACGCTGCTAACGCTTTTCGTCGGGTCTGTTTTTCAGCTCGGAAATGCCAGAAAAAATACCAGATTTAGCGAGGGAGTTTCGATGGACGCCGTTGGCACCGCGAAAACGCTATGAAAACTAAAATGAGCGAGAGGCAAATACGCTGCTAACGCTTTTCGTCGGGTCTGTTTTTCAGCTCGGTACTCAGATGAGCTAAGGAAATGCCAGAAAAAGTACCAGATTTAGCGAGGAAGTTTTGATGGACGCCGTTGGCACCGCGAAAACGCTGTGAAAACTAAAATTTAAAAATGGAAGGAAAACCCAGGAACGACTGCAGGAGGTCAGTGCAGTTGAAAAAGGACGCCTATTCCAAGCTGTTGCCAATTATTGTGGAACTTCACCGACGGGAAACAATACCACAACAGGATAAATCCGCAAAATAGTTGAAGTGCTGGAGGAGATCCATTAAAGAACTTCGGTGGGAAGGATCATTCCGAGTGGGACGTCGCTCCCTACATGGACATCCTGCCGGGCGTGTCCTCACAAAGAATGTAAGTTCTGGCCAAAAGAATTTGGATACGTTGTACTAATAAAAGTATCTTTTTAGCAGAACTACCATAACGATCTCCGACGAGCTCTCCATTGGGGATCCCCAGGGACTCCACCTCCACCAGCTAATTTGCAGCTAAAGCGGAGGTGGAGGACGCACTGGCTTCACGACTTCCTGCATCATCAGTCGGATCCACCCCGTTCTCATTCCGTCTCCCACTTCTCCAATGTCCAGTATGCCTATTGGGACTCGGAGCTAGACTACAGATGGCGCGGGAAAGTTGACAAAGCATCCGTGGGACGATTTAGAGTACTGTTCGTCCGTTTGGAGTCCTCAGTATCAAGTGCACATTGACCGTATAGAGTCCGTACAGAAAAAATTTCTTTTTTTTGCCTTACGTGGTTAGAACTGGGATCAAAACGTTAGGTTGCCTTTTTACTCGAGTAGATTGCTATTGATTAATTTGCCTACTCTAGTAAATCGTAGAACTAGGCTTGGTACTACTTTCCTACATAATCTTATCAGAGGAGATATTGCTACGGACTTAATTTGGTAAGCCGCCTAACCTTTAATGTTCCCGTTAAACAAATGCGAAACTACTATCCTATTAACTTGCTACGATGTATATTTAATTTTAGTCAGTACGAGCTCTTTCGCGTTCTTTCTAATAATTATAAATTGATTCTCAACTTATATACCTGTATTAAAAACTAAAAATTAGCTCATTTGCTTTAGTCTCAGTTGATCAATGTTTTGTCCTGTCTTTATTTGTTCTATGTACCTTCCTCGCGAACCGTATTTGCCCGAAATAAAAATGTGTACGCGCGTAGCGAGCACGTGCTTGGTGCTGTTTGGGCCATTTGTTTGTAATGTTTGTAATGGATCAACGTTCAACAATACAATTCATAATTATAAGCATTCGTTGAACATTCCATTTATAATACCCGTTAATCGTAGAGTACAAGGGTATACTAGATTCGTCGGAAAGTATGTAACAGGCAGAAGGAAGCGTTTCCGACCCCATAGAGTATATATATTCTTGATCAGGATCACTAGCCGAGTCGATCTAGCCATGCCCGTCTCTCCGTCTGTCTGTCTGTCCGGATGAACGCTGAGATCTCGGAAACTGTAAGAGCTACGCTATTGAGATTTGATTCCTGAGCTTCTTACGCAGCGCAAGTTTGTTTCAGCAGAGTGCCACGCCCACTCTAAAGCCCACAAACCGTCCAAAACTGTGGCTCCTACAGTTTTAATGCTAAAATAAAAATTTTAATTGAAATTGAAAAATACCTATCGATTGACATAAAGTTTGCCACGCCCACTTTAACGCCCACAAACCGCCTAAATACCCAAAAAATCGTAAATATGAACGTGGTTATTTTGGAAACTATCAAAGATAGAGAATTGGGATCTCAGTTTTAGATTCCGTAGCCTTGAGCGCTGCGCAAGTTTTTTACCCGAATATGCCACGCCCACTCAAACGCCCACAAACCAACGAAACCTATGACGCCCACAATTTTCATGCTAGATAAAAAATTTTAACTGGAATGTATTGGTCTCGTCAATATCATCGATTGATTAAAAAAAAATATGCCACGCCCACTCTAACGCCAATAACGCTTTAATCTGTCTACCGCCGGTAGGTGGCGCATTTTAGTCTCGCTTCGCGAGACTCTCTTTCCCTTTGGTCCCTTTAGCTGAGTAACGGGTATCTTATAGTCGAGGTACTTAACTATAGCGTTCTTCCTTGCTTTTATTATAATTTCTTCGTGCACCAGCAGACTCTTCTTTTTTTAATGGCTCCAACTGATTTGCCAGCTGGAAAAGCCAGTACCAGCCATTTGCCAGGATGCTGGGCGACTTCCTGCAGCACCAGCAGAACCACCCCGTTTCAAATCCGGCTCCCATTTCTCAAGGCCCATATTGGTATATTGGAAATCGGAGCTGAGCAGCACTCGTAGGGTAGATCGGAAAGTATGTAACAGATAGAAGGAAGCGTTTTTGAACCCATAAAGTAAATATATTCTTGATTAGGATTAGCCGAGTCGATCTAGCCATTTCCGCCTATCCGTCTGTCTTTCTGTCCGTATGAACGCTGTGATCTCGGAAACTATAAGGGCTACGAGATTTCTGCGCAGCGCAAGTTTGTTACGTCAGGGTGCCACGCCCACTCTTACGCCTACAAGCCGCGCAAAACTGTGCCTCCTGCAGTCTTAATTCTAAACAGAGAAAAAAAAGAAAAAATACCCGTTTGATATTGTCTCCTCAATTTTGACATATCACCTTTTTTATATCAAATTGATATGAATTCATATCAATATGATTTCATATCAATATGATACGGATTCATGCCAACATTTCTAATTTATAGGATTTGGCATCATTTTCATATATAAATTCGTATTAACTAGTTAATTAATTAATTTGATATGTTTTTCATGTCAAAAGTAACATCGAAAAGTCTTCGAAAAAAAAGTATGACTGTGCTTTCGTATCTTTTGTGTATTTATGGTATATAGTATGGTACTAAAGATATTTTTTTGGCTGAATGGTCGCGGTCACTCTGACATATGTTTATTTATATATTTTTTTGAGCAAATGGTAAGTATCCCATTTTTAATTGTAATTACTTTATGTTTGTCTAATTCTAATATATTTATTTCTTGGACACTGTAACGTGCTTTTCGGTGGCTGACAACACAGACTGCACTACAAAAAGTCAAATGGCTAGCCAAGATGCCGAACTGGGCAAGTTAGCGTCCACCCCATCGCTGGGAAACTTTTATCGAGGACAGAAGAAGGACTTCCTGGCGCTGATGCAAAACTAGAGGAGGCATCCGAGTACAGCGTGATCGGTCATTTATTGCTAAGTCCTGGAATTATTTTTATAATTGATCTGAAATATATAAAAAACAAGGAAGAACGCTGTAGTGGAGTACCTCGACTATCAGATACCCGTTACTCAGCTAAAGGGACCAAAGGTAAATGGAGATATGCAAGCAGCAAAGCGAGATTAAAATGCGCCACCTACCGACGGTAGACAGATTTAGGCGTTATGGGCATTAGAGTGGGCGTGGCAAATTTTTTTTTGGATCAATCGATAAGTATTGACGAGACCAATACATTTCAGATAAAATTTTTTGTCTAGCATGAAAATTGTGGGCGTCACAGGTTTGGGCGGTTTGTGGGCGTGGCAAATAGGTCAATCGATAGGTATTGATGAGAACATTACATTTCAGTTAAAAATTTTATTCTAGCATCAAAACTGTAGGAGCCACAGTTTTGGGCGGCTTGTGGGCGTTACAGTGGGCGTGTCACGCTGCTGAATCAAACTTGCGCTGCGTAAGAAGCTCAGGATTCTGCATGCCAAATCATAATAGCCTAGCTCTTATAGTTTCCGAGATCCCAGCGTTCAACCGGACAGACGGACACGGCTAGATGGACTCCGACGAATCTAGTATACCCTTTTACTCTACGAGTAACGGGTATAATACATTAAATGTTCAAGGAATGACTTTCCTTCAGTTCTGCAGTAGGGCCGGAATGACATATCAGAATGCAAAAAGCTTTTTTGTTTTTTTTGTGCTAAAAACGCTGTGCCGCTGTTGACTAGGCTAGCGACTAACATTTCGGCTGAAAAGTTTTCGTGGAGCAGCGACATGTGAAAGCCGTAATATTTTTTGGGAGCATTTTTGTATATTCTTAAAAAGCAACTAACAGAAAGCAACAACTAGAAAAGTAAATTATTTGATTATAGTAAAATTAAGTAAATTGAATTTACTTATAAAGTTATATTTACGTATTGCACATTTTTATTAAAATAGAATTTTTTAGTTTAGTTATAGAAATTTAGTCCGTTAAAATTTATTTAAATACTTAAAACATTTAAATATTAACATTTTTAAAAAATTTATATTGTATTTTTTACTCAAGGAGTATATACTATATAGTCGGGTAATTTTCGCTTAAGAAAGGGTATAGGTGCAGGGGCGCGCCAACAGCGAAGAGAAAACAAAAGAAATCAAGTAAAGGGCTGAGGAGAAGACATTTAAATTGTGCGCAGCAGATTTACTTTTTTCGTTTCTAAAAGTGAAAATCATAAGGTCAGGTAAGTTTAAGATGTTGTGCATTGATCTTAGTTTAAAGTACGTACCTTTTGAAGGTGTTTTATGGGTTCCGTTAGCCAAAAGTGAATGATGAAATGTCTTGTGCCAATAAAAATCCCGCGAAGGGTTATAAACAGCTCTAAAAGGTAAATATACAAAAGATAGCAAAACGCATTTTTAAAACATATGACCATACATATTTTCAGGAGCGTTGGTTAATAATTCGAAGGAAGCGGACAAATGAATATAGCGATGTCCAACGTCAAAAAAAATTAACAAAACAGATAAATAAGCTTACTTACAATAATTGTCCCTTAACGGAAAACTTTAATAACACAATATAATTAAAATGAATAAAAATGTAAATAAAATTATATGCATTTTAAATTCTATATTTTTATAAGTGAAAACTCATAGGAAAGATTCTGAATCTCACAAGCGATTACACGTGGGACCCGCCACCTGTAGGTAACAGGCCATACGACAAATGAGTATAAGGAACAAGTGAAATCCCGAGTAACGTCAAAAAAATTCGTTTTCAATTTTCACTTGTGGAAAAGCGGACACCCCATACAACGATCTATGTGGAGTATCACTTCCCAGTCGTAAATGACAGCATTCCAGCATGCGTTCTTTCATTATGAAATGGCATCAAAAAGGTGTTCCGGAAGTGATGAGTCTGTCCATTCTTTTTACACGGGTGCGGGACAAAAAAGAATGCACCCGTTGCACGCTTCTGGAAGCATATATCTGGAATGCACCTGGAAGTAACAAACTAAACACATTCTGGGTGTACTCTTTTTTAATGCACCTGGGAGCAACATACTAAACACATTCTGGGTGTACTCTTTTTTAATGCACCTGTAACATGTACCCAGGAATGCACCTAGAAGCATTCAAAAACCAAATATCTGGAAGTTTTCCCCAGGAATATATTAAACTGGATTTCAATTTCATATTTATTTTCATTTCAATATTCAAAAACGCAACTAATTTTTAATCGGAGTAACTCCCCTTCTGTACGGTGCTTCCTTCTTGTTTATGTACTTTTGTCATTTACGCAGTTCAGTCCTTGGTGTGCCCATTCATTTTTTGCGATTCTGAAAAATATAAAGCAAATTGAATATAATATATTTTGAAATATGTGTATATACATTACAAATATACATTATTTTTATTTTGTATGTACAATTTACAAACAAATAGTTATTATTTTATTTGTTTAATATGTTTTTAGTTTGAATGTTCAGTGTACATGTACTGTGTTATTTTATTGTGTTCATCTACACTTTACTTACCTGTGAAAATATTGATGTAAAATTGGTGGCAGAAAGCAACACACTTTTTCAAAACACGTGGCACGAACTTCACTTTTCAGAACTAAAAATGCAACTGACGAGAAATGCAAGAGACAAGAAAAACCGCTCGCTTCCTTGCATGTTCCCTTTTGTCTTTATTATTTGTTTGTCAAGAGAACAGTTCCGAAAAAAACCGATTGTAAAAAAAATGGGCATCGGCAACCTTCGGGTTTGAGTTTGGTTTTTTTACATTCCCACTAAAATACACCTGGATGCACTATATTGAAATACACCCAGATGGCACCCAAAAGACTGCCCCCAGCACGCACATTTTGCTGGGTAAATTTGTTTTGCGTAAAAAAGATACGACCCAGAACTATTTTTTTCGGAATACTTTCCCGAATACCCGTTTGGGCATGCTTCTGGATGCATAGTTCTGAAACACATCTAGAAGGCACCGCCATAGAATGCACCCAGCACGCACATTTTCCTTGGTAAATTAGCATGCGTGCTGTTTTGCGTAAAAAAGATACGACCCAGAACTATGTTTTTTTAAAACACGTTCCCCAACTTACGACTGGGTAGTAGTTTAAAGCTTCCTTCGCGTTTCGAAGATGCTTCGCCATCTTCTCCGCGCCATCTGTTTAGCTCCGATTACCAATATGCCAATATGGGCCTTGAGAGAGTGGAAGCCGAATTGGGATCGGGGTTGTTCCGCTGATGCTGCAGAAAGTCGCACAGCATCCTTCCAATGGCTGGTAATGGCCCCTGCAGCCGTCCCTTAGCTAGCGTCCTTTGTTACAACACCCTGTAGAAGCCAGCGGCCCCTCCAGCTCCGTTTTAGCTGCCAAGTAGCTGATGCTGGTGGAGTCCAGCAATTCCCCAATGGAGAGCTCGTCGCAGATCGTATTATTAATGGTTCTGCTTAAATTATTTATATTAGTGCAGCGTAACCAAATTCTTTTGGCCAGAACCTACTTTCTTTGCGAGGACACGTCCGGCAGGATCTCCATTAAAGTGAAAAGCCTCTCGGCAATTTCCTTTACAATGGTTTTCTTGATTGGATTACCTTCACCACAACCATTCTTCTGCGGATTTGCCCGGTTCTTTGGTGTGTGTGGGTCAAGTCCCACAATAATGGCAGCAGTGTGGACTAGGAGTCCTTTTTGATTTGCACTGACCTCCTGCAGGCGTTTTTGGGTTTTTCCTTCCATTTTTCATTTTCTGCACAAATACACCGAAAGTTTAAATTTCTTATCCTTTAAGTGATGGCTAAAGGCATAATCACTCAGAGGGGATTAGGCGACTTTTTCCTCTATGAGAAATGCAAGTGTAGGAATGGGACGGCAAAAAGTTACTTAAACTCACTGCAGGGAAAAATGGGACCGCGCACGCAAGCCGATTCAGTATTCCAGTATTTTATTTAGTATTTTTTACGATCTTAGGTGATTTTTGTATTTTGCGTTTCGTAATTTTTTTGAGCCAGAAATTCATTTAAACTGCAGTCACTGCAGTGCAGTGGCGCCGTTATAAGGAAATTGTTGTTGGAGCAGGCTCAAGAAGCCTCCCAACGGCTCGGAACTTAGCAATTAGTATCAATTTGAAAATAATTATTGCTATGCTTGTGTTAAGAAAATAGGCAACCAACAACTTTTGCCCTTCCTGGCAAGACTTGGCATCTGTCGCACCAAAACGCACATTATATATATAAATAAAAAGCCATTTGAAGGCGCGTCCACCTCTCAAAATGTTTGCTTAGAAATGGATATAGTCAAAGAACAGTATGCGAGGAAGGTGTTATAATGTCTTTTAGGGGTCTAAACGGTTCTAAATTGCGAAAATTGTCGTGGCGTCACTGTTGGCCCAAAAATAGTCTCATTCAATTTTCACTAAGCTAGCATGAATGAAAATCTCATCATTGTTTAATTTGCTAATAGCAAAGAAATAATCAATTGGCGCTGAAAACATCCCACATGAAAGCGCTTAAACTGTATTCATTTTTGCGTTGCTTTCCATTTTTTTCGGAGCGAGAGAACTTGCACATTCTTCCCTTCGGATACGGTTAGCTTTTGCCGATCAGCTGTTCGCTTCAGCGATTCTCTATGTGAACAGGAATCCGCGTAAGGTTGCAACACCGATTTTTAAGCGGCTGTGTGCAGAGGGTATAACGGCGTTCCTTGAAATGTACTCCCAAAATCTGGTATTCCCTTAACTCATCTGAGTACCGAGGTCAAAAACGAACTCTCTCCTATTGATAGCTCACGGTTTTCGTCAATGTGAGTACTATGATTAATAGTTAAATAGTTTCGCCATAAACCAAAGAAACTTGATAGGCGTTCCATTCAGTCAGTTGCAGTTGAGATGCAGCCCTAAGCGTCGTCAGAAAGTCCCGAAAAATAATCAAATTAATGAAAATGCACCCCATAAAATATGTATATTAGGAAGAAAGTTTGCCCAATTTTTCATCCCTTTTGAATGCGGTCGATGCTCTCCAAAATCGCGACGGAAATGCAGGATATTCACTGACAGCTAAATGGTGATCGAGCTATCGATAGTCGGCGATGTTTTCTTACATCACTAAAACTTTTGCAAGATGGAGCCTCTTTTGCTTGATTTTAACAAATCAGTAGCAGCACGTGTATAAAAGTGCCAAATAATTTTCAAAAAATGTTAGTATATATCATAATTTAAGAGTTTAAAATAGGGAAAGCGGCCAGGTGAACGTGTTCCTCATTGAATAGAAAACCGTTGTATCCGGTCCAAGTGTGCTTCAATGCAGAAAATACTTTATAAAATTTCTGACTGTCAGAATGCGTGGACCTCGAAGAAAAAATATTCAACGCCCGAACTTCAAGAGCGAGAGAGTGCAGTGGTTGCTACAAGAGAATTTTGTTAGCGGACTTTCCAGGCTCGACCTTTTCTTTTCGGAACATCCGAATAAGGCGAGTTTGCTGAAATCTGATGACGCCTGTTTCCACTTGACTCAATCTCACGCACACACTCTTGCTTGACTCATAACTTCTCCATGACGCATATTGAATGATTCTATCTCAATATTCGTCGGCTTGTCACACGCCCTGGAATATTTGCCTGTCTAGTTTTCGCCTAATCAACTACCTTGGCAACTTCTGCCTTTTTTAACCGGCTACTACTATTTGCGTCCATCGTTAGGCAACCAACACTGTCTTCGCAGTTACGTGCACATATCGCTAGACCCCTCTCGCCGACTGACATTGACACACGCGACACTAGGGTCATCCCGCTCGCACCCGCTCAGGGGCGGATTCTTGCCGCGCTCAACAGCAAACGGCCAGCTGTCGTCGCAACTGGCAGTCGCGTTCGTACGAAAGGCAACGCAGGCAGAGCGCACCGAAGCAAAAAAGTAACACTGGAAACGCGTTTATGTTCATTTGTTCGGTATTCGACTTTCGGGAGAAAACAACACAGGCCGCAGACTCAACTGAAATTCTTTGTTTTTTGTTCAAGACGGACAGGTTGATTGAGTTTACCGGGCTCAAGCCGTCGAAATTCAGGACATAAGTTTACCTAGACAATTTTTTATTGTTGATTATGTGAGTGACTCTGGTTGCCAAGCGCTACTCGCGATTTTCGACGTAACCAACAAATGTAGCTGGAACATTTGAACACCTGAATTTGAAGTTGTTTCGTTCGCCCATCAACGCATTTTCTCTTTCTCGCAGGGATGACCGAAGTGAAATAGCTCAGGATGGCCCCGCCAGCATGGACCCCGAGGGAGTCATCGAGTCTACCTGGCACGAGGTGTACGACAACTTCGATGATATGAACTTGCGCGAAGAGCTGCTGCGCGGAATCTACGGCTACGGGTTCGAGAAACCGTCGGCCATCCAGCAGCGCGCCATCATTCCCTGTGTCAAGGGTCGCGACGTCATTGCCCAGGCACAGTCGGGTGAGTAAATAAATTGTATTCCAAGCTCCGGGTTCACATTCCCAAGTTTCCCAATTCCCCTCGAACCTCATCGTCAGCAACAAAGAAAAACTTGCCAATGTGAAAAATCGGGGGAAAAAAAGTGCTAGGAAAGTATTAGCGATGACTCAGCTACTGCGCCTATATTCTTTGTTGAAATTGCCTCCCTGTTACTCGATCTCTCTTTTCCTTCATCTGACGCTCGCTCTTTCTCGCATCTTGGCGTCGCTGCGCTTGCGCGCCCCTTTTCGCTGGACAGCTGCCTTTCGCCTCAAAAAACACCAAGACAGAAGAAAGTTCCCAGAAAGAAGGTCGTCATAGGACTCCAGCCGTGAGCTGCGTTTTTAAGATCAACTGAAAGAAATGCGATCTACCTACACCGCCTATTTGGTACTAATCCATTTTGAAGGATCTTTAAACCCATGTAGTCTATCCCATCCACACCCCTACTTTGCACTTCGCCTCTACCTGGGCCTCTTAATCCTTGCAGAGGATATTAGCCGTGTGGACACTGAAATAAGTTATAAGCTGAGGTTTTCACGAACAAGACCTACCTTGAAATAGCGTTCCTAAGACAATTAAAAAATGGTGAAGATCAGAGTTTAAAAAGCGTAACTCTTTCTATACACATGCATATTTTATTTATAATCCTATCCTCTTCGGTGCATGTTGTTTCTTATTACTAAATTTATAAATACTGCGCAGTTTTATATAATCACATTCTACGGAAACTACGAATAGTATTCAAAAACATCCCCTTTGCAAACTAAAATAAAAGCGTGCTAACCATTTCTCATCTTATTCTGTTCTGTAGGTACTGGCAAGACTGCCACCTTCTCGATTGCTATCCTTCAGCAGATCGATACTTCCATTCGCGAGTGCCAGGCGCTGATTTTGGCGCCAACTCGTGAGTTGGCCACGCAGATCCAGCGCGTGGTGATGGCTCTGGGAGAGTACATGAAGGTGCACTCGCACGCCTGCATCGGCGGCACTAACGTGCGTGAGGACGCCCGCATCCTGGAATCCGGCTGCCATGTCGTGGTGGGGACGCCTGGTCGCGTCTACGACATGATCAACCGTAAGGTGCTGCGCACCCAGTATATCAAGCTGTTTGTGCTCGATGAGGCCGACGAGATGTTGTCGCGTGGTTTCAAAGACCAAATCCAGGACGTGTTCAAGATGTTGCCCCCAGACGTGCAGGTCATCCTTCTGTCCGCCACTATGCCTCCGGATGTGCTCGAAGTGAGCCGGTGCTTCATGCGCGAACCAGTCAGCATTCTGGTGAAGAAGGAAGAATTGACTCTCGAGGGCATCAAGCAGTTTTACGTGAACGTTAAGCAAGAAAATTGGAAACTGGGTACCCTATGCGATCTGTACGATACGCTGTCCATTACCCAGTCGGTTATCTTCTGCAATACCCGTCGCAAGGTTAATTCACTCATCTTTATACATTTGTGTTAAATTTTGTTTCCAGTCTTCAATGCTTAGAAATATTAACATTTTACTGTTTAGGCTAGCTTTATTCGGCAAGCTGGAAGAGTTTCAGGCTTAATTAGATTTGAAAGACTCAAACTAGTTTGATTTTTTACAATAGGTCAAAGCAGGGGAAAATATATTATATAATTATCGATTTCCCCTTTTCTGTAGGTGGACCAGCTGACCCAGGAGATGTCGAGCCACAACTTCACCGTTTCGGCTATGCACGGCGACATGGAGCAGCGTGATCGCGAGGTCATCATGAAACAATTCCGTTCGGGCTCTTCTCGTGTTTTGATTACCACTGATTTACTGGCGCGTGGTATTGATGTGCAGCAGGTCTCTTTGGTCATCAATTATGATCTGCCCTCAAACCGCGAGAACTACATCCATAGGTGAGTAGTACCCTTAACAACTGAATCCAAACTTTACATTTTTTTTAAAACATTTTTTGCATCTTGTGCACCATTTCAGGATTGGTCGCGGTGGTCGATTCGGTCGTAAGGGTGTTGCGATTAACTTTATAACAGATGATGATCGACGAATCCTTAAGGATATTGAACAATTCTACCATACAACAATTGAGGAAATGCCTGCTAACATTGCCGATTTGATTTAAATATTTTCTGCTGAGCCGCAAAACAACTAAGAAATAATTCAAAATAAAAAGTGAGTTAGCAAATCAGCCACCAAGAACTGCAAAATTAATAACCGAGCGCAAACATAAATTATTCAGAGATCAGCAAATAAATAAACTCAAGTTAAATATTTATTCAAACATAAATTTAAAAAGGCAGCCAACCACCCTTCGACAAGGAGTAGACGCGGACAGAGAACCAACATCATCAGCGCGGAAGCAACAACATCTAGCAGCCGCAGGAGCTTACAAAATTTCGCTGAAAAGCAGGACATCCTCTGTATCCATTTAGTTCTCTCTGTGTATCCATTTTTA